TTCGGCATTTCCACTGATATCTCAGGTTCTAATCATCATATTTCAATGACACTTACATAAATACATAGGACAATGCACAGACAGATATTTGAAATATTAATTACCTAATTAATCAATTTTCGGCTTTTGATATTTCAAGTACTATTACTTCATTACTTTTCAATGAAACTTGGTACATAGATGCTCAAGAACAATGCAGAGACCTGATTAATTTTGGGCAAAAATGGGTACATATGTATCAACTAATTTGCATAATTAGTTAATTTCCGGCTTTCACACCGCAATCACATGTACTAATTATTCCATTTCAATGAAACTTGGTACATTGATGGTCTAGAACAATTCATGGACCTGGATTAAAATTAGATGATATTAATTACCTTATTCGCATAATTCATAATTTTATGTTTCTCATCACATTCCAATACAAACTTCGTATATAGATGGTCTGTGACAGTACTTATCTTAATTCAATGAATCTTGGTCCATATATACTCTAACACAATGTGATGATCTAATTAGTTTTAGATTTATATACATCTATAATAATTACTTCATTTGCATAATAATTACTTTTCAGCTTTCCACTAATTTAGTTAGGATTAATCATCACATTATAATGAAACTTGGTACATGTGCGCCCTGCAACAATATACAGACCTAAATTTATGCATAATAATTGCTTAATTTGTATAATGATTCATTTGGTTCATTGAGGTAATCTACAGACTAATTAATTAGACTAAACACCATGAATGAAAAATCAAATGTATTCTGTCTTGTTTCTCAAGTACCATTTGACAGATTTTGATGAAACATGGTACATAGATGCCCTGGGATAATGTGCAATGTGATACATGTATAAGCACTGTTGCTGATAAGGACATGCAAGTGGTGCTATAATTTTGTCTGACAAGATACATGATCAAAATATCATGTAATATACATGTATGGTTATTATTTCATTAAATAACTGTAGTTATGCCTATACTGGACTGTAGTTATGCCTAGACTGGACTGTAGCTATGCCTAGACTGGACTGTAGCTATGCATAGACTGGGTTGTAGTCATGCCAAGACTGGACTGTAGTTATGCCTAGACTGGACTGTAGCTATGCCTAGACTGGACTGTAGCTATGCATAGACTGGACTGTAGCTATGCCAAGACTGGACTGTAGTTATGCCTAGACTGGACTGTAGCTATGCCTAGACTGGACTGTAGTCATGCCTAGACTGGACTGTAGCTATGCATAGACTGGACTGTAGTTATGCCTAGACTGGACTGTAGTTATGCATAGACTGGGGTTGTAGTCATGCCTATACTGGACTGTAGCTATGCCTCGACTGGACTGTAGCTATGCCTAAACTGGACTTTAGTTATGCCTAGACTGGACTGTAGTTATGCCTAGACTGGACTGTACTTAAGCCTAGTCTGGACTGTAGTTATGCCTAGACTGAACTGTAGCTATGCCTAGACTGGACTGTAGTCATGCCTAGGCTGGACTGTAGTCATGCCTAGGCTGGACTGTAGTCATGCCTAGACTGGACTGTAGTCATGCCTAGACTGGACTGTAGTCATGCCTAGACTGGACTGTAGCTATGCATAGACTGGACTGTAGTTATGCCTAGACTGGACTGTAGTTATGCATAGACTGGGTTGTAGTCATGCCAAGACTGGACTGTAGTCATGCCTATACTGGACTGTAGTCATGCCTAGGCTGGACTGTAGTCATGCCTAAACTGGACTGTAACTATGCCAAGACTGGACTGTAGTCATGCCTAGACTGGACTGTAGTCATGCCTAGGCTGGACTGTAGTCATGCCTAGACTGGACTGTAGCTATGCCT